AGTTCAAAAAGAGCTGAAGTACAGTAATTGCTGGAGTAACTTCTCTGCTTGTCACGCCATTTAGTTCTGCAATAGCTCTGGCAGCCTCAAGGATGACCATCTCTGATTTGTGTCGCAGACAACTTTCAAGAAAATCATATAAAGGTCGTTCCCCAGTTTGACTATTAGCAGACTCACTAGCAACCTGCAAAAGACTTTCATTTATGCATCAGCAGAAAAAAGAAATTCAGTGCTATGTATGACCCTCTCCTGAAACACACCTGACTGGCATAACGAACCAAAAGGCATTGTGCCAGAGGAGAGCGAGCAGTGCCCCGTGTCAAGCTACTAACCAACTTGTTAACAGCTAGACGATCATTCTGGCGGATCTGCAGTTTGGAAATACAACCTTTTATCATATGTTTTAGTTTCTAAACTTACCTAACCTAGAGATCAACAGTATCCACCATAACCAGAAAAGTATTAATTCATGCTACAGTATCCAATCTTAACAAATTTCATGCTCGTCTTACAGCCACCAAGAAAGTTTCTCAACAGATCTCAGCCTGTTCTTGTGTGGCATTGCCAGAGACATACATACAGAACAATTACAAATAACATAAAAATGAAAAATGGAGATATCCAGAAGTACGGTAGGATTTACTACTGATGTTTGGAAAAAGAAAAAAAAATTTAGGCAACAATTTGTACACAAACAAAATAAAAGAAGAGTATCGAGAGCACTACAAAGAACTGTTAGCTTTCTATGTCGAACAAAATAGTGTAGGAATAATGGAATAGTTGCAAATTTGAAAATAAGTTAAATTAAAACACTGGGCTGCTCAATGATAGATCCCCAAAAAAAGGAGAGAAGAGTTGCCATCAGGCTGAACTCGTGGATATTTCATCCAAAGAGAAAATCCCATGGAGACAAAAATGCAAGCTGAAATGAGCTATCGAGAATGATGAAAAAGGCTAGTTTTCCATCGATTCATGTCATGTAAGCGAAGAACGAACACCATTGTGGAGATTATTACAAGTTAAGGAGCTAGTTTGGTCACTTATCATGACATTGAAGCTCAGTTCTCAACCTTTACTAGGGTTTGTACATTGAAAAGTCGCGGCAGGGTCCACTACCAACCCTTGACAATCGGGATCCCATTAGGCCCCACAAAGGACAAATTTGAAGGGATCCTTCTCGAATGGAGAAATTTTCCAGACAGTTGCAGATCTTAGTACTACTAAATCTCCTGCGCTCGATAGTTATACCACTAATTTCTTTTTTTAAAAAAAAGAATTGGAACATTCTTCAAGGCTGTTCCAAGACGTTTTGAGAGTGCTGTCATCAACATGATCCTAAATGAGACCAATAATTGCCTTTTTTATTAGAGAAGTGATGCAAAAGGCGTGATGGAGGCCTATAAGCCTCACATTATGTCTTTACAAGATCATTACCCTGGTGCTCAAAAAGGCTTAAAAAAAATCATTCACTATCACAGATTTCCAATCCACTTTTGTTGAAGGGAAACAAATTCTTGATGTTTATCGCAAATGAACTCATTGAGAAATACAAGATGACTGAAAGGAGGGGGGTCATCATTAAGCTTGATATTGAGAAGGCTTTTGAAATGGTGGATTGGGACTTCCCAAGGCATACTGCCCCTTCGTAAATTTGTTTATTCAATGAAATGAATTGACACTGTTTCTCACAAAAACAAATAAAATAAAATAAAAAAGAAAGAGGGAAAAAAACTGGGTTGCTTAAGGGGCAAATAGATACTGGTTGGCAAAATTTTAATTTTAGTAGGATAAGTGCTAGAGCTATCAGGCTAATCACTACTCTACTGTGCAGTATGAACACATCAAATATGAAAATAATAAGTCAAAACCTTTACTCTAGAAGTCTATAGTGTTGGAAAAATGTGACAGATGAATCAAATTAAAAACTCCGTATTCCAGTCACATAATAAACTAAAATATTAACTTTGGCATACCTGATGAAGCAAACCCAAGGCATGAAATTGTACTAGTGGTGCCCTTGACTGCACAGCTTCTTGGACCTCATTACTCCATCGCTTCACAATCTCAGGATTTGTCTAAGGAGACAAAAATTGTTAAATAGAATTACTGTGTAAAAGGTTGTACGTCTACCATTACGCACGAGTAGATGGTACCTGGAGTAAATGAATCCCACTGACTAAGGCTGCACTAGCAACCACTGGGTTTTTGTCTACAATTGCTTGTTTCAGATACCGCTCAATCTGGGTGAGAAGAGTACCGTCTGTAATTCTACAAAGTACACGTATAGCATTAGCACGGTACATATCATTCTTGCTGTTCATGTCCTTCATCAGGGAGCTTGTCACAATAATAACCTTTAATTTTGAAAGTTCAAGAATGGTCAGTTTGTATTTATGCATTTATAATATTCTGAAAACTCATGAAATTACAAACAAGTACTAACATCATCAGAAGATGGAGAGAGCTCCTTTATCATTAAATAAACCATTCTCCTCAATTCTATGTCTCTAGACTGGAAGAGCTTAGTCACACCAAAGAAAACTTCTGTAGCTTCAACCTATAATAATTCATAGAATAAGAATATTATGAGAAACTAAAAAACACACAGGAAAAAACATCTCTGTGTCTATACTAAATTCATTTGTAAGATGGAAAACATAATTTGGGAAGAAAAACAAATAAAACATTGATGAGCAATTGAAGTAGAGGCAACTTAACCTTTGTGAATGTTTCACCTTGGTTGAGAAGATACAAAAGCTTCGTTATGACCTGAATACCAGGCATAAAGGCAATCAGAACCAAAAATAAATTAGGAAGAAATGGAAGATTGATGTCTAAAATATCAACTAATTCCATAGGTTCAAAGCATATACCTGGGAGCATTTCCTTGTGTCTAGCTGAGGATCATTGAACACCCTTGCTTCCTGAAGAACGGTACCTTTCTCAATCCCCAAAAACGGAGAATATTCCTCTGAAAAGAAACAAACAATACCCAAAAAGGCATCAGAAAACAGTGGCGAAATGAGTCTAGATCGTCAAAACATCAGAACGCAGGTAATTCCACCAAATTGCGACCAGGAGTAGCAAAACATTTAGCAGTTCCATTCACGTCAACCAAACAAACACATACATCTCAATTCAAGCGCGAAGAAGACAAATGCTCTATTCAAACATCTAAAGTAAGACTGAAATCAATACGATCAAGAGACTAAATCAAGTAACTAAAATGAAAAAATCAGTGAAATCTGCCAAAGTTCAACAATAGAGACACAAATTACAGGTAAGAAAAATGCTATATCCAAACATCTAAAGTAAGACTAAAACAACAAGTAACTAAAATGACAAAATCAGTGAAATCTACCAAAATTCAACAGTAGAGACACAAATTGCATGTAAGAAAAATGCTATATCAAAACATCTAAAGTACGACTAAATCAACAAGTAACCAAAATGACAAAATCAGTGAGATCTGCCAAAATTCAACAATTGAAAAACAAATTACAGGTAAGAAAATCAGTAAACTAATCCAAAATTTCAAAAAACAACTAGATCGAATGCAGCAAGCACAATGAGAGAAGAACGTAATCGTAATCCAAAGAACGTGGAGTAAGAACCTTCATCGTCGTAGTCATCATCCTTCTTGACGAGAGGCTGAGCCATGGCGGAAGAGTCAGAAGAACAGGTGAGAGATCGGAATGGAAGAGAGTTGCAGGGAAATTTCGTCCAAGGGTGGGATTGAAATGGGGAAAAGCTGTGGAAGTGAGATCCAAGACGAAGGTGAACGAAAGGAAGAAGAAGAAGCTGTAACGTAAGAGGGTGAAATCGGAAGAAGGGTGGGATTGAAATTGGCGGGTGTGTAATATTTTGCAAATCTCACAATTTTCTTTACAAAAACTGTCCAGGAATATCAAATTACCCATTTTACCCCTCTCTTTTTTAATCTTTACGCATTAAAAATTAAAATTCAGTTTTTGTTACATTTTAACGTCATAAATTAATTTTGTAGCCATTAATAATTAACATTCTATTTTTTTTTTAGTATTATTTAGTAATTTTCTAGCTTTCAATTTTGTAATATTTTTATACAAATTTTTAGTATAATTCAATTAGTTTACTATTATAATCTTTAGCATGATGTCATAATTTCTAATTTTTCGGCCTTTTTAGGAATTTTTAAAGAAATATTGTTATATTGTCTCATATTTGTATTCAATACCAATCAGTATCATTCTGGGAACAACGCTCTCTTTCAAATCTCTCAACCAATCCATACGACTTTATAGGGTAGTTTTTGATAAAACTCGAGTAGGAACAATGTTTTAACTTGAGTGGAAATATCGTTTTATTTCAAGACTCTCAACCAATTGATACAACTACGGATGATAGCTTTTGCTAAAACTCGAGCAAGAATAATGTTTTCTTTCAAACCTCTCAACCAATCGATACGACTTCGGAGGGCATCTTTCGATAAAACTCAAGCAAGAACAATGTTTTCTTTCAAACCTCTTAGCCAATCGATATGACCTCGGAAGACAACTTTTGCTAAAACTCAAGCTAAAACAATGTTTTCTTTCAAACCCCGGGCAACTTTTGCTAAAACTCGATCAAGAACAATGCTTTCTTTCAAACCTCAACCAATCGATACGACCTCGAAGGGCAGCTTTTGCTAAACTTGAGCAGGAACAATGTTTTCTTTCAAACCTCTCAACCAATCGATACAACTTCAAAGGGAAGCTTTTGCTAAAACTCGAGCAGTTTCTCGAGAACTTGCTTCCAATATGAAATATTAAGTATTTAGAGATGTTTTCGTTATTTCCGAGAATACCCCTGTATAAGGAGTGTTATTAGCTTCTCCCTCCACTTCTTAATCAACTTTTAAAATATACATATTTAGAAGATTATATTTTAATTGAAAAAAAAAAAAAGGAATTTGGTAAGATTTTTAGAAGTTACTATTAGTTAATCAGTTGACTTTTTTAATTATATTAATTGACCACGAAACTACAAACTGTAATAAATACTAATAATTTAAAGTGATGAAATTACACTAAGGCAAGGGGAGAGACTTCATCGACCGGCCGGTCCAAGCTTTTTACTTAGGTGGCCCGTACGTTTGGGGATGACTGGCGGCCGGGCTTCAAGCTGATCTCGCCGCTTGTTGCCGAAGGGTTTAGTCCGTACTCGCTAGTGCCGCCGCAATCGCTGCTTATTTCCTCCCGGCTGTCCTTCGCTTTCTTTTGGAGCCTCTTCACGTCGGCGGTATCGGAGCTTCCATCGTTCTCCGAGGTCGTGCCTGAGCCGAAGTACGAGCTCTGCCCTGCCTTTACTCCATCGCTCATATCCTCTAGTGACACGTCGCCTTCTAGAGCCCTCACCACCTGCTATCCAAATTGTATATACGGGTGAAAGTTCTCTATTTATAATCATTTACAAAAATATATGAAAGATCAATAAATGTATATAAGATATTTAATTCAAATAGAAAATACGATACCCTATAATGGAAGGCAAATATGCAAATATTTACATATAATAAATGATCAAATATGATAGCCATGGAAACTGTAATCGAAGTCTAAATATTTTCAATTATATCAGATATTTGACTGTAATAAATTATCAAATATAATGTATAGCTAGTTTAAATATCTTCAATCATATAAGTATAGTTAAGTAAACTATAATGAGAGTTTAAATATCCTCAATCATATTAGATATTTAACTGTAATAAATAGGTCAAACATAATCTATAGCTCTGTAAACGGTAATGAAAGTCTAAATATTCTCAATCATATCAGATATTTGACTGTAATAAATTATCAGATATAATGTATAACTATGTAAACTGTAATGAAAATCTAAATATACTCAATTATATCATATATTTGACTGTAATAAATGGTCAAATATAATGTATAGCGTGTAAACGATAATGAAAGTCTAAATATTCTCAATCATACTAGATATTTGACTGTAATAAATGATCAGGTATAAAGTATGGCTATGTAAACTATATTGGAAGTCTAAATATTTATCATATCATATATTTGACTGTAATAAAGGGTCAAATATAATATATATTTATATAAAGTGAAATAGAAGGCTAAATATTCTCAATCATATATATATATATATATATAAAAGTAAACTATAATAGAGGGCTAAATATTCTCAATCATATCATATATTTGATTGTTATAAAAAGTCAAATATAATATATATCTATGTAAACCGGAATGAAAGTACAGTGGATATCTTCAATCATATCAGATATTTGACTGTAATAGTAATGAAGTCTAAATATCAGTCAAATATCTTCAATCATATCAGATATTAGAGTGTAATAAATGGTCAAATATAATATATATGATAAATCATAATTCATGACTAAATATTACAAACCTGACTCATTTTGGGACGACGTCGAGCCGAATGACGGATGCAAGCGGAGGCGCAAGCGACCATGCAGCCCATTTCGGGGGCGGCGTACTTCTTCTCCAACCGTGAATCAGCCAGCACCTCATAGTTTGCATTCTTCATTGCTTGCATGCATAGAGGCCTCGCCTACATTCACAATCCAATCAATTTCTTTTATTTATTTATTTTTTCATTTAATTCTATAAACAAATTATTTAAATAAATTCCAAACCCAATCTACTAAGCTTTCCTCCATGAACTCTCCCATCGTGTCCATCGGTCGCCTTCCCGTTATCAGTTCTAAAAGCACTACTCCGAATGAGAATACATCTGATTTCTCTGTTAGCTTTCCCGATGATGCATATTCCGGAGCTAAATATCTGCATATCATTAACTCATTTTAAAACCTACCCATTTTTCAAGGCGATGATTTGATTCTCGTTCCGTAATAAATGAATTGGAAAAAAATCTAACGGACCCAAATGTGCCCATGACACGAGTCGATATATGAGTGTCGTTGTCTTGGTTGAGCTTCACCAATCCAAAATCAGCCACCTTTTAGAAATTTAAAAAATATATTATTATTAATCATTAAGGGAAGATATTAATTTCATTAAAATTACGATATTATCCTTTACGTTTATACGAGTTTTAAGTATAAGTTTTTTTAATAGAAAAATACCTTGGCTTCAAAACTCATGTCTATGAGAATATTCGCAGTCTTGATATCTCGGTGGATGATGCGAGGATGACCTACAACCGAGTTAAATTATAAATTTAATTCATAAATCTTTAAAATGGTGTCTATTCCAAACTACCCTCGGGTATATATATATATATAACTTAAAAAATATTTAAATCTTTTGTAATCAAGGTTAGTATTATAAATATCTAACATTTAAATTTTTATGAGATTTTAATTATTAATATAACATATAATTTTTTAAAGAATAATTATAATTTGAATATTAAAAATATTAATGTATCAAAATGAATGCTTACAGTCTTCGTGTAGATAGGCGAGGCCCTTGGCTGAGCCCAATGCTATCTTCACCCTGGTTGGCCAGTCCAACGGTGACTGCCCCTTGCCTATAATTTTACACATTTAAAAAATATTCTTAAATTATGAAATTAGAAAAATAATAATAATAATAATAAATTATGTAATAACGTACCGCGAAGGTGGAATTGGAGGTTGTTATTAGGGACAAATTCGTAAACCAACAACTTCCGTTCACCGGCGATGCAATGTCCGATTAACGACACCAAATGGCGGTGGTGAACGCGGCTAATTATCTCCACTTCCGCCGCGAATTCCCGACCTCCTTGACCACTTCCCGATTTCAGGCTCTTCACTGCAATTTCCTTGCCGTTAGGCAAAACTCCTTTGTGAACGTACCCGAATCCCCCTTGCCCTAACAGGTTCGCCGGAGAGAATCCCCCCGTCGCCGCCATCAGCTCGTCGAATGTGAACGTGCACTTATTGAACCCTAGCGCCACCGACGGGTGAGGCGGCGGAAACACCGGCCCGTGTGGCCCCGAGTTATTCGAACTCATATCACTGCTAACTATTCCCAACGGCGGAGGAGTCGGCGGCGGAGGCGGCGGCTGCGGCCATTCTCCTCCTTGCCCTCCGCCGCCGACTGGCGTTATGTTCACGACGTGTTCGTTCGGGTTGTTCCAGTTGTAATTCATTCTCATGTAATATGGATCCCCACCTGTAATTTTACATCGCCGATCAATTTCGTTTAAATTTTAAGCTACCAAAGATTTATTAAATAGATTATAAAAAATAAAAATAAATTAATTAATTACTTCTCGGAGAAGACGGTTCATCGAAGCCCATGGAATCACTATTTTTGTTCTGTTTCTTTCGCCTGCAAGCGAAGAACATTAAAACCACGGCGAGTAGCATAAATCCTACCGCCACCGCCAGTCCTGTAAAGATCGGCAACGCATCGGCTTTAGAGCCGCCGGATGAGGAGTTTGCGGATCGAGAGTGATGCGAAATCGATTTCGGAGGAGGCGGAGGAGAATGCCTAGAGGAACCGTGCGGCGGCGGAGGAGATGGAGGAGATGAAGATTTCGAGTCTTTCCGTGATGGCGGTCGGGGTGAAGAAGAGGAATCAGGAGGCGGCGGCGGCGGCGGCGATGCGTCCGGCGGAGGTGGAGGAGAATCGTTCGGCGGAGGCGGAGAGGAACCAGACGGCGGAGGCGGAGAAGAACCAGACGGCGGAGGCGGAGAAGAACCAGACGGCGGAGGCGGAGAAGAATCAGATGGCGGAGGCGACGAGGAATCCGAAGTAGGCGAGGGAGAATCCGATGAAGAAGACATTAGAAGAGTTTCCGGCAAAAGACTAGTCGTTGAATGGCGCCGGAGAAACTCTCGCCGGTCCTCCCAGACGACGCCGGCCTGAGGTAATCGGAAAGTAAATTAGGGATTCTGGAAGGACGGAAACAGAGAAAAATGGGTAATAATCCCATGGAAGAAACGGAGAAAACCGCAGTTCTTGTTTTCCGGCTTAATTTGGTGGTTCGTTGGCTCCAGATCGCCGCCTGCAGAAGGAGGTTAAGGAAAATTCTGTCTCCTTCCATGGAGTTGAAATTCCAGCCATTTTTTCCAAGATTTTTCAGGCACAGCGCCTTCCTCTGTTTCGCTACATTCATGTTGTGCCTGTAAATCTTCAGCTCCAACAATGGAGGCCGGTATGCCCTGCATCATTCTCCCCCATTCTATTATTGGATTTTATATATTTTTTTAAATTATATTTATTTGAAATAATTCTAATTAACTTAATAACTGGGTCAGCCCATTGGGCCTCCTCACAAGCCCAAGAATCCATATGTTCGACTTATATCGTTACGAATTCAAAACTACCCTTGAGACCTGGAAGACCACTTTAGAACCTCGGGATGGAAGAAAAAGATCCCTTTCTATTCTGATGCGATACCGTTGAGCTAGGCGAGACACTGATTAGGGTCGTGTTACTGTAGAGTGATGGTAGATTTGTTTTATGGTAGGATGTTGATCACGCAAGTAGGTCAAGGTTGCCTGTATGGCGGGTTCGTCCTATGGAAGGATGTAGACCACACGGGTGACCTGTTCAAGCTCGTTTGTACTAGGGGTAGCGCCCACAATTCTTAGGGGACTTCATGGCCTGTGGGACGGGTTCGCCTACTAACTTTTCCATGGGCGATGAGTAGGCTAGTGCTCACCATGATGTCTCCCGCATTAGTACGTAGTTTTATGAGGTAGCGTCTCATCCCCAGACGTCGAATACTGCTACAAAGGTTAAGTTCTTCTATCCCAAGCTGTGTACTGAGACTCTAGGATCTATAGTATAACCGATGGTTCTCTCCTAAGACTTGGATGCGATAAGAGCTTACACGTAGGTTGCTTACCGAGTATATTTATACTCATCCCTTTCTACTTTTTTCTTTTCAGGTCTGTGAAGTTACAGGTCGTGGCATTGGAGTGTTCGGGAGCTCGAAAGTCACCGAGGAAATATCGATCCACAACGTCTGTCTAGTTTACTTATGCATAGTTGGCATTTATCATACCATGTATCTTTGACCCCTTTTCTCCCTTGTATGAATTTGGCTCATGTGTAGTTTCATTCCGAACATACTTTGATTCCTTCTTCTTACTTGTAAAGTTTTAAATTCTAGAAAAAAATTTATAACTGAAATTTGTTACTTATTCTTTTCATTTTCATGCCTTGCAGAGTCGGTTGAGTTACTCTCGGTCTTTCGATGTCTCGAAATTTCGAGATGTAGCATTCACAACTCAACTCAATCCAACCCACATGTACTACTTCAGTAAGTCATATATTCGCCAATTAAAATACATAATTCCAAGAAATAAGTATCAAATAACGTTAGTATAGAGAGTTACCATGACACAAGTCTCTCGACAACCTTCAATACACTACATAAACAACACTCGAGGAAGCCACCGTTCGAGAGAAAAAACGACAAATTATTTAAAATTTATACTTCACTAATTATCAAGAACCACGTGTCGATCATTGAATCGAGTACAAACAACCCCAATTCATCATACAAACACAAGAAACAAAAAGAAAGAAGAATCCCAAGACCTCAAACCCCAAAAACCCATCAAAAGAAACCACACACTAAATGTATTAATTTACACAAACATGAAAAGCCTAGTAAGTTATTCTTAACCACAACACTTCCCCCGGCAGACATGCACACATGGGGCTTGGAAGGGTATCATCATGGGGCTGAATTGGCAACGGTGGGGTTGAATTTGATATCAATATTACGCCTTGGAGTAGCAGCCCCATGGCCATGAGCATGAGCATGAGCATGAGCATGGTATATTATAGCATTTGGATGAGGATCAAAGTTGTTCATAAACCGTTGCTTTTGATTCTCCACCATTGAATCATCAAACAACAGCTCTTTAAGCATCTCTGGAATCTCTTCATTTTTCATCATCTTTTTCCAATACTTCCCTTGATCTTTCCTGCTTCCATGGCTTACATCTACGAACTAAATTATAAAAAAACTCGTCAAATTTCGTAACGAAAACGAAAATGAAAACCATCGATCGATAACTGTTTGTTCTTCGACTAACAAAATCAAAATCAAATTTTTTTAACTTTGATCGTAATATTTATAAATCTAAACCGATCAAATCGATCGAAAGCTTACCAGAACAAGAGAAAGGAGAAGAAAGAAAGCAAGAGACAGCTTCATGTTGGACTGCCACAGGTTTAACCATGGTTGAGTTTACCATTTTATAGACAAAATTTATTGGTCAAAACATTTAAATAATTTAATTATTGGAAGTACACTTATCATGAATATATATATTTAAATTAAAAAAAAAAACATTATATATTTCTTTTTAATCATTAATTTTCTAGGGTTTTGGAAGGGAACAAACGCAGTCTTATTTAAAAACCAGTGGTGGGCTGTGTGTGTTTAGGATTTTTTTTTTAAAAATTATAAAAAATCCATTTTCCCAATTATAAGGTCAACCAAGAGAAAAATATATATTTTTAGATCTCGAGAACACGAGTTAGTTGAGGTGAATACAGTTGACTTAAAACTTTCGATTTTTCTCCTGGATTCGGAATGGTCAAAAAACGGAATGCTCGAGGAGCTTCTGGATTTGGAGAAGTTGGTTGAGGGCACAATGTAGACCTTCGAGCCCTTTTGTCCTATGGTTTGATTACGCTCGGGGTTAAATTCTGAGACCTGAATTCTTGTCTTTATTGAGTTCGATTTCTTTTTTCTTTTTTATCGGGTTTTGAGGTCCAAAACTATACATTATAATTAGCTCTTAAACCCTAATTATGAACTAAAGTATTTATTTGATTCTAAATTAGTTTTAAGTTATTTTAACTTCTTAAATAAGTTATAAACCTTATTATTAATATTCATATTCATGTAACGTTTAATTGATATATTCGAATATATCCACAAATATTTTAATATAATATAATATATATATATATATATATATATATATTAATTTATTGTAAATATAGGTGATCTCTAGAAAGTGAGTCGGTTTGAGTTTGTGCATCGAACTGTTACCCACTGAATTTGATGAAATAAATAAATAAATAAATAAATAAAATAATGATTAAAAATAATACTTAAATTAACTTTGGTTTTTAATTTGACTTTGAAAAAAAAAATAGATGTAAATAGTAAAATAACAAAAGTTTCCTAAAACTCTTATTTATTCATTTTTCAATATTTAATTAAATTTGTAATTGAATTTAAAAATATATTTTAGAAAATTATCTTTATTTAAAAGGGTTTTTGAAATATAAATAATAAAAAAATAATCATAAAATTAAATATTTATATATAAATTTTATTGTAAGTAAAAATGTATATTTTAAAATTAACAATAAATTTTGATGATGTCCATTCAACTCAATTTAATTCTAGTAGAACTCAGTTCGAACCTTATGGATTGAATTGGGCTGATGGAATTTTTCGGAGGTTATTAAACACCATTGGTAAAAATTAGTGGATGATAAAAAAAAAATTTAATAAAAAAAAAGATATATTTATGTATATCCCGAGAAATGTATGCATAAGTTTAAACCTTAATATCGCGATGAATAACGAGTCACGATACAAAAATATAACTAACTTGAAAAACGCTCATTCTTTCTTAATATCGCACACAACAATTTCCCGCTAAAAAATTCAATTAAATCAAGACTTTCGTTGACGTTTCCTGTTCTCCCCGAGAGACACCAAAAGAACCCTGAATTATAAAAGTTGTTGTCATTGCAATTTTATCCTTCAAAAATATAAATTATGCTCAATTATAGCTTCAAAAATACTTGAAGTTGGGGAAGTTTAAAATATTTAGAAAATTGTTGCAATCTAACGTTTAACTATTCGGCCAAGTAACTCACATTATTTATCTATTTCGAAAACGCGTTCGTTATTGACATTCATTACTATTTTATTATACTATATTAAAACGTCGCAATCTCAAACCTAACCCGAAGATTTATTAAAGCTATGAGTTTGAACATGTTTATGATATTAAACTTAATATGTTTGGTGCTTCAAAGGGCCAATTTTGATGCTAAGTTTGAGAGGAGATGTGCACCACATTGTCTAAAGAAAGTAAGCACTAAACAGCTAAAAGAGATGAAATGGCTTACTTTTCTATGATAGAATGAACTGTTTTATTTGACTAAACAATGTTAGGTCAACTTTATTGCTCTACTTGAAGAAATGATCATATGGGTCCTTTGATAGATAGCAAATTTGATATGTCCTTTGTGTTTTGTTAAGCTATTTGACTCACAAATATAATTTTGATTATTATATTGGTTGAAAATGTGAAGTCAAATGTATGATTGGTGTTTTTTTTAGTGCAATGATTTGAAATGAAGATTTGAACCACACTCGTGAAAAGACATGTTTTTGTAACGACCCAGTTCACTGTTACCATATATTGTTCTATTTGGGCTTTCTCTTTTGGGTTTCTTCTCAAGGATTTTAAAACGCGTTTGATAGGAGGAGGTTTCCACGTATTTATAAAGAATGTTTCATTCTTCTCTCTAACTGATGTGGGATCTCACAATCCACTCTGATACCAAGTGGTGTGCTAGCAAGGACGCTGAGCTCTGGAGGGGGGTGAATTGTGAGATCCTACATCAGTTGGAGAGAGGAATGACACATTCTTTACAAAGGTATGAAAATCTTTCTCAGAGAGTAGACACGTTTTAAAAACCTTGAGGGGAAGCTCGAAAGGGAAAGCCCAAAGAGGACAATATTTGCTAGCGGTGGGCTAGGGTCATTAGAGTTTTTGTCAATCTAAACAAGAAAAACGTCAGAAAGAAGTAATGTTGATGGCATTTCACTATTGGAAAATGGATTTTTCGATACTAAACAAGGTAGCATTGACAAAACTATAAGTTATGGTGATGTTATAAGTGATATTAGCTTAATTAATGAGCTCTAAGTTCAATATTTTGAAGGTATGAAATGACGTAGATAAAATTGAATTATGTGTAGACTTAACTTACGTGATGGTCAACTTACGAAGGCTTAGGAACATCATATTGAACTTTTACTATAAGTGAACTTACTGTTGGAATGTTTACCGGCTAGGTTGAATGAAATTGTATATTACATGAATGACACATACATTGTGGCCCTTATTTACGTGTTACTATTGTGACAAATGTA